CGGAGCTGGACTGGACCCCGGTGGAGCGGACTGCTCTGGCTCCGGAGTGGCGCAGCTGACCGGAGCTGGATCAGGCACCGGTGGAGCGGACTGCTCTGGCTCCGGAGTGGAACAGCTGATCGGCACTGGATCAGGCACCGGTGGAGCGGACTGCTCTGGCTCCGGAGTGGAGCAGCTGACCGGTGCCGGACAAGGCACCGGTGGAACGGGCACGAGCCATGCCGGACTGGACAAACGCACCACTGGTCTGGTGCGAGGAGCAGGCACGGGCCGGACCGGACTAGGAACACGCACCACTGGCTTGGTGCGAGGGACAGGAACAGGCCGGGCCGGACTGGCGACGCGCACCACTGGCTTGGTGCGAGGAACAGGCCGGGCCAGACTGGCGACACGCACCACTGGCTTGGTGCGAGGAGCAGGAACAGGCCGGGCCGGGCTGGCGACGTGCACCACTGGCTTGGTGCGAGGAGCAGGAACAGGCGGGGCCGGACTGGCGACGCGCACCACTGGCTTGGTGCGAGGAGCAGGAACAGGCCGGACCGGACTGTGAAGGCGGGCTGGAGATCTGGAGCGGGGAGCTGGCACAACCCGTCCTGGCTGGCTGCCCACTTTTGCACTACACGTGCGGGGCGCTGGCACAGGACGCACTGGGCTGGGCTGTGCACGCGCACTGGCGATACAGTTCTTAGAACTGGCGCAGGAAATGCGGGACCGAGGAGGCGTACTGGAGACCAGGAGCGTTGAGCCGGCACACCCCGTCCTGGCTGGATGCCCATCTTCGCACGGCACGTGCGTGGTGCAAGCACAGGACGTACAGGACTGTGCCGGTGCACTGGCGACACAGTACGTAGCTCCGCATAACACGGAGCTTGCCCAGTCATACGCCTCTTCGTGTGAGTACGGGGAGTTGGCTCTGCTCTAACCCTAGGTTCCGCCAACCACCCAGTGTGCCCCCCAAAAAAAATTTATTGGGGCTGCTTCTCGGGCTTCCTCCTCGACCGGCCTCCTCCGTGTTGCCGTTGCTCCTCTCCTGTCTGGGCATCTACCTTAGCCCATGGTCCTTTCCCCGCGAATATCTCCTCCCATGACCACAAATTGGCCACCTGTGACATGGCCATCCGCTCCGCCTGGGCACGCTGCTTGGTCCTCGTTTGGTGGGATCTTCTGTCACGTTCGTTGAATGACGGGACAGACCAAGGCGCAGCGTGATATACGTACATGTTTATTAACGTAATAAACACTTGACAAAACAATAAACGAAACGTGAAGTGAAGTCCAAGGTAGCACACACAACATACCTTACAAAGAACAAGATTCCACAACTAGACAGTGCCAATAGGCTGCCTAAGTATGGTCCCCAATCAGAGACAACGAGCGACAGCTGCCTCTGATTGGGAACCACACCGGCCAACAGATCCACACATACCAGATCAACAACATAGAAAAAGCACAACAAGGAATATACACACCCTGACTCAACATATAAGCGTCCCCTGAGTCAGGGCGTAACAGATGTACTTTGTTGTATACTAATCCTGTCTCCATACAGTCTTGTATAAAGCCTTATTCTCCCCATGTCTTTTCAATGGGCTCAAGTAATGATGAATCAGAAAAGGACAGTCTAATATTGGCTTCCAGTTCGGAGAGTCAAAAATAATATCAGTAAGAACCAAGAACTGTATGCAGACATTTAATTAACTGACTTATTTGGAAATGTATTAATTCATTGGCACAATATCATCCACTTAATCTTTTAAAAGAGAAATAGGCACTGGGAAAGTTGATATATGACATAACATCCATATGTAGGCTACATGCATAGCACTTTGTTTTAAGCTTCAAATTGTTCCCATGTTCTTACCCAAACTGCAAACAGCAATACCCCTCAAAAACAGGGATGTCGATTCACATGGGATAAGTATTATCAGAGGACCAAAAAACAGTAGGTTATTCTTCTGGCTGGAATTATTACTCTCCCTCCATGTGAAAATTACTGATGTGACAGAAGGATCTAAAGAGAAGATTATCTCTGTGACTGTGATCAAAAAAGGAAGACTCTTCAATGTATGCAGTGTCCCAAAGTGTGACAAACAAACTGGGGGAAATAGATTGCAGTATGTGGAGTCTTTCGTTTCTTTTTATTGGACATACTATGTACACTCTAATCTCCAGCACCTGCTCAAAGCAATTGGATATATGTACAGTGAGGGAAGAAAGTATTTGATCCCCTGCTAGGCCACTCCAGGACCTTAATGTGCTTCTTCTCGAGCCACTCCTTTGTTGCCTTGGCCGTGTGTTTTGGGTCATTGTCATGCTGGAATACCCATCCACGACCCATTTTCAATGCCCTGGCTGAGGGAAGGAGGTTCTCACCCAAGATTTGACGGTACATGGCCCCGTCCATTGTCCCTTTGATGCAGTGAAGTTGTCCTGTCCCCTTAGCAGAAAAACACCCCCAAAGCATAATGTTTCCACCTCCATGTTTGACGGTGGGGATGGTGTTCTTGGGGTCATGGGCAGCATTCCTCCTCCTACAAACACGGCGAGTTGAGTTGATGCCAAAGAGCTCAATTTTGGTCTCATCGGACCACAACACTTTCACCCAGTTCTCCTCTGAATCATTCAGATGTTCATTGGCAAACTTCAGACGGGCCTGTATATGTGCTTTCTTGAGCAGGGGGACCTTGCGGGCGCTGCAGGATTTCAGTCCTTCACGGCGTAGTGTGTTACCAATTGTTTTCTTGGTGACTATGGTCCCAGCTGCCTTGAGATCATTGACAAGATCCTCCCGTGTAGTTCTGGGCTGATTCCTCACCGTTCTCATGATCATTGCAACTCCACGAGGTGAGATCTTGCATGGAGCCCCAGGCCGAGGGAGTTTGACAGTTATTTTGTGTGTCTTCCATTTGCGAATAATCACACCAACTGTTGTCACCTTCTCACCAAGCTGCTTGGCGATGGTCTTGTAGCCCATTCCAGCCTTGTGTAGGTCTACAATCTTGTCCCTGACATCCTTGGAGAGCTCTTTGGTCTTGGCCATGGTGGAGAGTTTGGAATCTGATTGATTGATTGCTCCTGTGGACAGGTGTCTTTTATACAGTTAACAAACTGAGATTAGGAGCACTCCCTTTAAGAGTGTGCTCCTAATCTCAGCTCGTTACCTGTATAAAAGACACCTGGGAGCCAGAAATCTTTCTGATTGAGAGGGGGTCAAATACTTATTTCCCTCATTAAAATGCAAATCAATTTATAACATTTTTGACATGTGTTTTTCTGGATTTTTTTGTTGTTATTCTGTCTCTCACTGTTCAAATAAACCTACCATTAAAATTATAGACTGATCATTTCTTTGTCAGTGGGCAAACGTACAAAATCAGCAGGGGATCAAATACTTTTTTCCCTCACTGTATGTTCCTCTCTGTGTGTATCTCTGTCTTTTGGAGGGGTTGGGAATGCGATAAAGCAGAATACATGTGTTGCACATTCGTGTACATTGGACAATAAAGTATTCCTCTTTTGTTATCAATGTGATCTCAACCATGTGAAACCATGTGTACAGACAAAATGGGGAGAACAGCATAATCCTCATCATAAGGAACTTTATTGATCTTGCTGTAAACAGTGTCCATGGCATTTCTCTGAAAATGAAGTTAATTCTAATTAGAACAGAACTTAGGTTTGTTGTTTGAAATCTCTTTTGCGACAAAATATAAACCGTTCATGTAGTTAATTCAAATTTATTTAGCAATTTTCATGTAGTTAATTCAAATTTATTTAGCAATTATCTGACTATGTTTAACATTTAGTATAGCCTTAAATAATGTATCAATTCATTTTCTCCTTTCATTTGCAAATCTATCAAACCATCACCACAAACTTAAAGCCAAGGTTTTCCAAATGGTAAATCTTTATAAAATCCTTTACCAGAAAGACCCAAAACGCACCATAAAGTCAGGCTTGTATTGGTGATGGATAGATATTCAAGGCTTGGAATGATTATGAAATTCTCAGCTAATCTGATTCTTTTTTTTATTTTTTTATCAGTCACATCATCCCTTATTAGTTTAATTGCTGGTAACTAACGGACTACAAAACAGGCAGGTAAGAGCATATCCAGTATTTGTTTTAATGAATATTTTACCCAAACAATGTGAACGACAAAAGTTCTGAAAAGGATAAGTAATATCAATCCCTTTGACTGATGATTCTAAGGCCAGTACTTTGCTCTACAAAGTAGTACAAGTACATTTAGTAGATGTTGTACAGTTTCTTGGGCCCCATTATAAAATGTCTAAAGCGGTAAAGACGGCTTTGTTTACAGTGTGCTCTGGTAGTAAGGACTCATACAGAAATACAAAATGGTCAGCTTAGATTACTGCATTGACTTGGGCGTCTACATTTCATTAATGGGTAAGAATATCTCTGGTTACCTTTAGGCCCTTTTCCTTGTTGTGTGGCTGAAGTACATACAATACACATACGACGGTTGTTAACCCTGAGACCTATTCGAATAGACCTGCAGATTCTTCCGCTAGGTCTCAGGGTTGGCCATAGCCTGGTAGCCCAGTCAGTTTGTATTGTAGCCAACTCATCTCTGTGTTGTTTCAGTCATGCCAAACTATGGCTTGACAACGATAGAAGAGTTGGTTACAACAAATGCGGGCTACATTGCAATATCCACAGTACCATACCACTTAGGATGCATGTCAAATACATTGCTTCATTCTAAGTGGTATGCTAGCATGGACATTGAAACGGAGCCACAGTATGGGGCCAAGTTGGCCGTATAGTTACCGTATTACATGGTATACTTTATCCGCGTGGTTTACATACATCACACCCAGTGATGGCGAGACAGAGAGCTAAAGAAGATGGCTGCTGTGAGTGATGTGAGGGCTCACAACATTTGTTTCTACAAGCCAAGCCACTGGCACACAGGACAGGACAGGAACCAGGCTAGTTTCTTCTTCTGTTGTTCCGGTGTGGTTCCTCAGGTGAGGTCAGATGTCCATCTCGAACTGAGCATCCTCACCTTTAAACACAAGAACACAAATACAATGTCATCAACACGTGAGTTGTACTCTAAAGCAGGGGTGTAATACCTTTATTACTAATATTGTCCGAGGATATGGCACCCACTGACCGGTGGCTGTCTTGCCATGACTGTTGTGGGGTTTGATGTGGTTGTTGGCCTCGTTCCTTCTGTTCTCGGTCAGGATGTTGAGGCTGGTCACCCCGGGGATGATGGGCAGGTGGGCTGGGGGGGTCTGGGCGATGGGGGAGTTACGCCGGTCCAATAGGAACTTACGGTCGTAGATGATCCGGGTCCCTACGATAGAGGAGAGTGATTATTTAATAACATCATTGACATATTAGTTACAACCATTGACTGTATAGAAATGCATTAACAACAGATGTATTACAAACCTGCTTTAGAGAACTGGTACACCATCATGTCGATAACAACACGTTGATTCTATTGCTTCTATGACTTTATGTGTAAATGGAGTCTTTGTTGTTTTCGTTCATTTACAATGTTGTTCATTTACATGAAACATGCAATAGTGTAGCACTGTGCAGCAGTGCAAATATAGGCAAATCAAGGTCAAATTGTATTAATCTGTTTTCTTGTTTTGCAAATGTAATCCTGTCATCATTACAATGGATGATGACAGCAAATAAAATAAAAAAATGCACCAATTCACAATACACACATCTGTGAATAGTAAGGGCAAGAGCATAAACCTGTTTAGCTCGTTACATATTTACTGTAAATACCCATTTTAAACAAAAGATGGCGTATGTCATACACAACACTGCCTAGGTGCCTACATCAGGTGCTGGCACAATTGTTTACAGTATTGTCAACAAAAAGCTGTAAACAAAAAGCAGAGGCCTTAGCTTTCTGTTAACATTATTTCAATAAAAGTGCAATAGTTTTTTACATGCAAAAGCACTGTCTGAGACAATGAAATTCAGATACATGCCTGGCTGGTTTGAGGAAGTATGAATATATAAATACATTGTAACTACCTACAGTGCCTTCAGAAAGTATTCACACCCCTTTACTTTTTCCACATTTTGTAGTGTTACTACGGATGTCCAGAGAGATCATATGAATATATAAAAAATTCCCTCGTTATGTCGAGATCACAACTTATTTATCTCATGATCACGACATCACAATAGTTGTTTTGTCAAGATCACAAGATTAACTTCATAAATAGGAATAGACGCATTGATGATAGATTGACAGTACAGCTGAGCCCATGGTGGATCAGTGCATATGTTTTTATTGATTGCTACACTAAGGGAGGGTACATTTCATGCTAACATCATGCTTTCATTTGTGTTTGGTGCTCATTATCAGTTTATAAGTTAGAATGTTAGCAAGCTAAATGTCCCTTATCTTGAGCTAAGCCTTCTTGGGGGATTTAAGCCCTGAACGATGCCTAACAGGCAGCCCTGTCTCCCTGGCTGTATGCCACCCCCAATACCACAGCCAACCACATGCAAGCAACAACGCAGCTCACTTGGCTAGTCTTGTGAGCGAGTTAGCTACTTAGCTAGCGTGTTATATATGCTGGTTGTTAACTTTCATAACTGAAACGTTTATAAATGTAAGGGACACTTCATGTTTTATAGATAATATTTACATTTACAGAGTGGGTGAGCTCCATTCCTGACAGGATGATAAGATCCAATAGCAGCCTCAGAGGCTGATAAATCAGGATTCTACCTTGTAGGCTGTTTCATAGCTAAAGCTCCTTGCAGGCAGATTAGCAGTCAGTGCATTATGTATATGATCAAGAGTGGTTGCGCTCTATTCTTGTCAAGCTGATCAGATTCAATAGAAGCCTCAGAGGCTGATAAGTCAGGATGCTGCCCAGTAGGCTTTCTGCAAGGAGCCTTACATATGAAACAGCCTACAAGGCAGCATCCTGACATCTGCCTCTTATTTTATTTTTTTCCACCTTTATTTAACCAGGTAGGCCAGGTGAGAACAAGTTCTCATTTACAACTGCGACCTGGCAAAGATAAAGCAAAGCAGTGCGATAAAAACAACAACACAGAGTTACACATGGGATAAACAAAACATACAGTCAATAACACAATAGAAAATCTATATACAGTGTGTGCAAATGTAGTAAGTTATGGAGGTAAGGCAATAAATAATTACAATTTAGTATTAACACTGGAGTGATAGATGTGCAAATAGAGATACTGGGGTGCAAATGAGCAAAATAAATAACCATATGGGGATGAGGTAGTTGGGTGGGCTAATTACAGATGGGCTGTGTACAGGTGCAGTGGTCGGTAAGCTGCTCTGACAACTGACACTTAAAGTTAGTGAGGGAGATAAGAGTCTCCAGCTTCAGAGATTTTTGCAGTTCGTTCCAGTCATTAGCAGCAGAGAACTGGAAGGAATGGCAGCCAAAGGAGGTGTTGGCTTTGGGTATGACCAGTGAGATATACCTGCTGGAGCGCATACTACGGGTGGGTGTTGCTATGGTGACCAATGAGCTAAGATAAGGCAGGGATTTGCCTAGCAGAGATTTATAGATGACCTGGAGCCAGTGGGTTTGGTGACGAATATGTAGTGAGGGCCAGCCAATGAGAGCATACAGGTCACAATGGTGGGTAGTATATGGGGCTTTGGTGACAAAACGGATGGCACTGTGATAGACTACATTTACATTTACATTTTAGTCATTTAGCAGACGCTCTTATCCAGAGCGACTTACAGTTAGTGAGTGCATACATTATTTTTTAATTTTTTCCATACTGCCCCCCCGTGGGAATCGAACCCACAAACCTGGCATTGCAAATGCCATGCTCTACCAACTGAGCTACATCCCTACATCCAATTTGCTGAGTAGAGTGTTGGAGGCTATTTTGTAAATGACATCGCCGAAGTCAAGGAAAAGTAGGATAGTCCGTTTTACGAGGGCATGTTTGGCAGCATGAGTGAAGGAGGCTTTGTTGCGAAATAGGAAGCCGATTCTAGATTTTACTTTGGATTGGAGATGCTTAATGTGAGTCTGGAAGGAGAGTTTACAGTCTAACCAGACACCTAGGTATTCTAAGTCAGACCCGCCGAGAGTAGTGATTCTAGTCGGTCGGGCGGGTGCAAGCAGCGTTCGATTAAAGAGCATGCATTTCGTTTTAGTAGCGTTTAAGAGCAGTTGGAGGCTACGGAAGGAGTGTTGTATGGCATTGAGGCTCGTTTGGAGGTTTGTTAACACAGTGTCCAATGAAGGGCCAGATGTATACAAAATGGTGTCGTCTGCGTAGAGGTGGATCTGAGAGTCACCAGCAGCAAGAGCGACATCATTGATATACACAGAGAATAGAGTCGGCCCGAGAATTGAACCATGTGGCACCCCCAAAGAGACTGCCAGAGGTCCAGACTACAGGCCCTCCGATTTGACACATTGAACTCTATCTGAGAAGTAGCTGGTGAACGAGGCGAGGCAGTCATTTGAGAAACCAAGGCTATTTAGTCTGCCAAAAAAGAATGCGGTGATTGACAGAGTCGAAAGCCTTGGCCAGGTCAATGGAAACGGCTGCACAGTACTGTCTTTTATCGATCGCGGTTATTATATCGTTTAGGACCTTGAGCGTGGCTGAGGTGCACCCATGACCAGCTCGGAAACCAGATTACATAGCGGAGAAGGTACGGTGGGATTCGAAATGGTCGGTGATCTGTTTGTTAACTTGGCTTTCAAATACTTTCGAAAGGAAGGGCAGGATGAATATAGGTCTGTAACAGTTTGTATCTAGAGTGTCACCCCCTTTGAAGAGGGGGACGACCGCGGAAGCTTTCCAATCTCTGGGGATCTCAGATGATACGAAAGAGAGGTTGAACAGGCTAGTAATAGGGGTTGCTACAAATTCGGCGGCTAATTTTAGAAAGAAAGGGTCCAGATTGTCTAGCCCAGCTGATTTGTAGGGGTCCAGATTTTGCAGCTCTTTCAGAACATCAGCTATCTGAATTTGCGTGAAGGAGAAGCGCGGGGGGGGGGGGGCATTGGCAAGTTGCAGCGGAGGGTGCAGAGCTGGTGGCCGGGGGGGAGGGTAGCCAGGTGGAAAGCATGGCCAGCCATAGCAAAATGCTTATTGAAATTCAGTAGTGACAGTGTTTCCTAGCCTCAGTGCAGTGGGCAGCTGGGAGGAGGTGCTCTTATTCTCCATGGACATTACAGTGTCCCAAAACATTTTGGTTAGTGCTACAGGATGCACATTTCTGTTTGAAAAAGCTAGCCTTTGCTTTCCTAACTGATTGTGTATATTGGTTCCTGACTTCCCTGAAAAGTTGCATATCGCGGGGGCTGTTCAATGCTAATGCAGTACGCCACAGGATGTTTTTGTGCTGGTCAAGGGCAGGCAAGTCTGAGGTGAACCAGGGGCTATATCTGTTCTTAGTTCTGAATTTTTTGAATGGAGCATGCTTACTTAAGATTGAGAGGAAAGCACTTTTAAAAGAACAACCAGGCATCCTCTACTGACGGAATGAGGTCAATATCCATCCAGGATACCTGGGCCAGGTCAATTAGAAAGGCCTGCTCGCTAAAGTGTTTTAGGGAGCGTTTGACAGTGATGAGGGGTGACCGCGGACCCATTACGGACGCAGGCAATGAGGCAATGATTGCTGAGATCCTGGTTGAAGACAGAGGAGGTGTATTTAGAGGGTAAATTTGTCAGGATGATATGTATGAGGGTGCCCATGTTTACGGATTTAGCGTTGTACCTGGTAGGTTCCTTGATAATTTGTGTGAGATTGAGGGCATCTAGTTTAGATTGTAGGACGGCCGGGGTGTTAAGCATATCCCAGTTTAGGTCACCAAGCAGTACGAACTCTGAGGTTTTGGGCTCCCGAGTGGCGCAGCGGTCTAAGGCACTGCATCTCAGTGCTTGAGGCGTCACTAAAGACTCCCTGGTTTGATTCCAGGCTGTATCACAACCGGCCGTGATTGGGAGTCCCATAGGGCGGCGCACAATTGGCCCAGCGTCGTCCGGGTTTGGCCGGTGTAGGCCGTCATTGTAAATAAGAATTTGTTTTTAACTGACTTGCCTAGTTAAATAAAGGTAAAATGTAAAATGGATGGGGGGCAATCAATTCACATATGGTGTCCAGGGCACAGCTGGGGGCTGAGGGGGGTCTGTAGCAAGCGGCAACAGTGAGAGACTTATTTCTGGAAAGGTGGATTTTTAGAAGTAGAAGCTCAAACTGTTTGGGCACAGACCTGGATAGTAAGATAGCCTGCAGAGCTCTATCTCTACAGTAGATTGCAACTCCACCCCCTTTGGCAGTTCTATCTAGACGGAAAGGTTTGTAGTTGGGGATGGAAATGTCAGAGTTTTTGGTGGCCTTCCTAAGCCAGGATTCAAACACTGCTAGAACATCAGGGTTGGCGGAGTGTGCTAAGGCAGTGAATAACTCAAACTTATGGAGAAGGCTTCTGATGTTAACATGCAAGACACCAAGTATTTTACGGTTCCAGAAGTCAACAAATGATAGCGCCTGGGGAGTAGGAGTGATACTGGGGGCTACAGGGCCTGGGTTAACCTCTACATCACCAGAGGAACAGAGGAGGAGTAGAATAAGGATACGGCTAAAGGCTTTAAGAACTGGTCTTCTAGTGCATTGGGTACAGAGAATAAAAGGGGCAGATTTCCGGGCATTGTAGAATAGATTCAGGGCATTATGTACAGACAAGGATATGGAAGGATATGAGTACAGTGGAGGTAAACCTAAGCGTTGGGTAACGATGAAAGAGATTGCATCACTGGAGGCACCGATTGAGCCGGTCTCCGCGTGTATGGGGGGTGGAACAAAGGCGCTATCTGAGGCAGGTTGAGCGGGACTGGGGGCTCTACAGTGAAATTGTATAATAAGAACTAACCAAAACAGCAATAGGCAAGACATATTGACATGGGAGAGAGGCATAAAGCAATCACAGGCGTTATTCGAGAGATCTAAGACAACAACTGGTAATAGCGACGAAAGTTTGGGATGAGGCTAAACAGATACAGGACAGATAAACAGGATGGGGTACCGTGTAAAGGAACAGCCCAGCAGGCATCAGCTGTGTGGTTGGTTGAGTGATCATAAGGTCCAGTGAACAGCAAAAGGTGAGTCCGGGAGCAGTTCGATGGCTACTACGGCACAGGCTAGCAGGAGGCACGGCTGTTGAATGCGTGTGCTAGCGGGCCGGGGCTAGCAGATGGATCTTCGTGGTCGTCACAACGGGAAGCCTGTTGAAACCACATCAGACGATTACGTCGGCAGACCAGTCGTGATGGATCGGCGGGGCTCTGTGTCGACACTAGGAGGTCCCGTCCGGTTGACAGAGAGGTAGATAGCCGGGAGATGGGCCTGGCTCGAGGCTAGCTCAAGGCTAACTGGTGCTTGTTTCAGGGCAGTGGTGATTAGCCAACAACAACATCCATTCAGTTGCAGCTAGCTAGTTGCGATGATTTGGTGTTAAAGATCCAGTGATTCAGTGATTCCGGCAGAAAATCCGATATGTTCTGAGTCGATAGCGCACTGTGCAGACTGGCCGATAATTGTCCAGGCTAGAGCTGGCTGGTAGGTAGTGCAGGCCACGGACAATGGTGAAAACCGCTAACGATGGCTAATAGCAAGTAGCTACCAAGTAGCTAGTTAGCTGGCTAGCTGGCTAGTTTCAGGCGTAGGTTCTTGATAAAAAGGTATAAGAAATAATAGAATCTGTTCCACATTGGGTGAGGCGGGTTGCAGGAAAGTATATTTAGTTGAAGGATGAAAAGTGAGATTGAGAAATATATACGAAAAAGACAACAACAAAAAAAAACAGGCTATTGACACGAGCACACTACAGAATACACGACCGCACTGCTACGCCATCTTGGATCAAGATGAGGCTGCTATTGAATCTGATCAGCCTGCCAGGGATAGAGCTCACCCCCTAGATCAGATATGCATTTGCTTATAAAGCACTTTGACAGCTAATCTGCCTGCAATAAGTCGTATCTATAAAACAGCCTATAAGGCAGCTTCCTGACTTATCAGCCTCTGAGGCTGAAATTGAATCGGATCAGCCTGTCAGGAATGTAGCTCACCCACTGTAAATAGTATCCACAAAGTGTCCCTTATAATTATACACATATATCAGTTATGCAAGCTAACAACCAGCATATATAACAAGCTAGCTTGCTAGCTAGCTAACAAGACTACCTAGCTAGCTCACAAGACTAGCCAGGTTAGCTGTGTTGTTTCTTGCATGCGATTGACTGTGGTCTTGGGGGTGGCACACAGCCTGGGAGACGGTGCTGCCTGTCAGGCATCGTTCAGGGCTCAAATGCCCCACATTGCACTCAACAAAGCCATAGGGCTTCTTGATGAAGTGGTTATTGTGCATCTGAACAAATGAATGGATGATGCGTGGTACTTTTGATTATCTTGTGATCTCAACAAAACAACTTTTGTTATGTAGTGATCATGAGATAAATAGTTGTGATCTCAACATAACGACGGAATTTTGTATTTATCAATTTGTCCTCACTGGGCTTCCATATGTTACAGCCTGAATTTAAAATGGATTAAATTGAGATTTTGTGTCACTGGCCTACATACAATACCCCATAATGTCAAAATGGAATTATATTTTAAGAAATTTGTACAAATTAATAAAAAATTTAAAGCTGAAATGTCTTGAGTCAATAAGTATTCAATCTCTTTGTTATGGCAAGCCTAAATAAGTTCAGGAGTAAACATTTGCTTAACAAGTCCCATAATAAGTTGCATGGACTCACTCTGCGTGCAATAATAGTGTTTAACATGATTTTTGAATGACTACCTAATTTCTGTACCCCACACATACAATTATCAGTAAGGAAAAAAAAAAGTATTTGTGAACTAACGATCACACTTGATTCTTTTCCCCCTTACTAGCGCTGACTTTGCTGATAGCTACTTTATTGAGGAAAATTGTACTTACTATCACTGTGATATGTGGTTGTCCCACCTAGCTGTCTTAAGATGAATGCACTAACTGTAAGTCGCTCTGGATAACAGCGTCTGCTAAATTACGAAAATGTAAAAAAGTCCCTGAGTCTAGCATTTCTAACAGAGATTCAACCACAAAGACCAGGGAGGTTTTCCAATGCCTTGCAAAGGGCACCTATTGGTAGATAGGTAAAAATAAATAAAAAGCTAACATTGAATATCCCTTTGAGCATGGTGAAGTTATTAATTACACTTTGGATGGTGTATCAATACACCCAGTCACTACCAAGACACAGGCGTCCTTCCTAACTAAGTTTGCCGGAGAGGAAAGAACAAGCTCAGGGATTTCACCATGAGGCCAATGGTGACTTTAAAACAGTTACAGAGTTTAATGGTTGTGATAGGAGAAAACTGAGGATGGATCAACAACATTGTAGTTACTCCACAATAATAACCTAAATAACAGAGTGAAAAGAAGGAAGCCTGTACAGAAATATTCCAAAACAATGCATCCTGTTTGCAATAAGGCAATAAAGTAAAACTTCAAAAAATGTGGCAAAGAAATTAACGTTATGTCTTGAATACAAAGTGCTATGTTTGGGTAAATCCAACACATCACTGAGTACCACTCTTCATATTTTCAAGCATTGTGGTTGATCATGTTATGGGTATGCTTGTCATCGGCAAGGACTAGGGAGTTTTTTATGATAAAAATAAATGGAATAGAGCTAAGCACAGGCAACCTGGTTCAGTGTGCTTTCCAACAGACACAGAGACAAATTCACCTTTCATCAGGACAATAACCTAAAACACAAGGTCAAATATACATTGGAGGTGCTTACCAAGACGACATTGGATGTTCCTGAGTGGCCTAGTTAAAGTTTTGACTTAAATTGGCTTGAAAATCTATGGCAAGACATGAAAATGGCTGTCTAGCGATGATCAACAACCAACTTGACAGAGCTAGAAGAATTTGCAAATATTGTACAATCCGGGTGTGCAAAGCTCTTAGAGACTTACACCGAAAGAGTCACAGCTATAATTGTTGTCAAAGGTGATTCTAACATGTATTGACTCAGGGGGTTGAATACTTATGTAACGAATATATATTAGTGTTTCATTTTTCATTATTATTATTATTATTATTATAATTTTTACAAATGTTTGAATTTTAATTCCACTTTGACAGTTTGAATTTTAATTCCACTTTGACATTACATAGTATTTTGTGTGACATTCCAATCCATTTTAATCCCACCTTGTAACACAACAAAATGTGGAAATAGTCAAGGGGTGTGAATACTTTCTGAAGGCACTGTAATAAATAATATATTGCATTGTTACAAATGTAGCCACCATGATTCAGATCACTGCGTTGAACACCAACCAATCACATTGCCAAAAGGGACGGCAAGGGCGGGGCAAACCTTTGTTTTTGTTTTGAACGCTTCGAAAAGGATGCCTTGCCATGCAATCGGCCTAGCTAGGCCACAATGCACGAGAGTGCATAGCGAAATACACATCAGTAATAAGATACAATTGATAGGTTTGTGTTGATTTTACCTCCCGGAGTTGTTGAAAATAAAGTGCCTCCAGGGGTGGTGCAATAATCATGAGGTAGCTGCGTTCTATCGTTGATCAACACCGTCCTGGTTGGAATGGCCCTGCTTTCGCTAAGCTGACGACTGGTAGACGACGACATTTCGCCCCCGGTTTAGTGACTGGTCAGACGGTACTGCAATCTGTAGGTGGTTGATACCTAACCTGACGGACGGTGGAACCCAGGGCCTTTTCCCTTTCTCTCTTATCTCTTCCCTTTCTTGTCGTTCCTCCCAGCCGTCAGCGCATACCCACTCCCTCTGCCAGGCAGGAAAAACAACAACACAAGCAGACTGGATATGACGTCAATGAAGGCAGCCGCCACACGTGTTTAGAAAGAAAGATCATATTATATTTTTCAAAATATTATTTGATGTAGGTTGAGGCCATAGACCATGGTTGAGGCCATAGACCGCAGGTGATTTTATTTGGCCACCAAAATGGCGGACGACAAAAAACATCAGCAAATCAGCTCGAAGTGATTATAAGTTTAGAGAGATAAATTAGATGTGATGGTATACAAATGTAAGCAAGGTTTGAAATTATTATGCTTTGGTCAATTATTATATCTGTTTGGGCTTCTTGCGGTCAATTTGCAGTCTACAAATTATTTGTAATTATGTTCTGGTCACCTTACCGACCATCGAAAAATCGCCCGCGGCTGAATCTATACTGAACAAAAATATAAACGCAACATGCAACATTTTCAACAATTTTACGGAGTTACAGTTCATATAAGGAAATCAGTCAATTGAAATAAATTCATTAGGCCCTAATCCATGGATTTCACATGACTGGGCAGGGGCGCAGCCATGGGTGGGGAGCCAGGCCCAGCCAATCAGAATGAGTTATTCCCCACAAAAGGGCTTTATTACAGACAGAAATTCTCCTCAGTTTTATCAGCTGTCTGGGTGGCTAGTCTCAGACGATTCCACAGGTGAACGAGCCAGATGTGGTCCTGGGCTGGCGTGGTTACATGTGGTCTGTGGACGTGAGGCCGGTTGGATGTACTGCCAAATTCTCTAAAACGGTTTATGGTAGAGAACTTAACATTCAATTCTCTGGCAACAGCTCTTGTGGACATTCCTGCAGTCAGCATGCCAAGTGTATGCTCCCTCAAAACTTGAGACATCTGTGGCATTGTGTTGAGTGACAAAACTGCACATTTTAGTGGCCTTTTATTGTCCCCAGCACAAGGTGCACCTGTGTAATGATCATGCAGTTTTTTCATTTTTTTATTTAACCTTTATTTAACTAGGCAAGTCAGTTAAGAACAAATTCTTATTTACAATGACGGCCTACCAAAAGGCAAAGGGCCTCCTGCGGGGACGGGGGCTGGGATTAAAAATAAAAAATAAAATACAAATATAGGACAAAACACACATCATGACAAGAGAGACACCACAACACTACATAAAGAGAGACCTAAGACAACAACATAGCATGGCAGCAACATATGACAACACATCTTGGTAGCAACACAACATGACAACAACATGGTAGCAACACAACACTGCAGCAGCACAACATGGTAGCAGCACAAAACATTGTACAAACATTATTGGGCACAGACAACAGCACAAAGGGCAAGAAGGTAGAGACAACAATACATCACGCGAAGCAGCCACAACTGTCAGTAAGAGTGTCCATGATTGAGTCTTTGAATGAAGAGATTGAGATAAAACTGTCCAGTTTGAGTGTTTTTTGCAGCTCGTTCCAGTCGCTAGCTGCAGCGAACTGAAAAAAGGAGCTACCCAGGGATGTGTGTGCTTTGGGGACCTTTAACAGAATGTGACTGGCAGAACAGGTGTTGTATGTGGAGGATGAGGGCTGCAATAGGTATCTCAGATAGGGGGAGTGATTCCTAAGAGGGTTTTGTAAATAAGCATCAACCAGTGGGTCTTGCGACAGGTATACAGAGATGACCAGTTTACAGAGGAGTATAAAGTGCAGTGTTGTGTCCTATAAGGAGCATTGGTTGCAAATCTGATGGCCAAATGGTAAAGAACATCTAGCCGCTCAAGAGCACCCTTACCTGCCAATCTATAAATTACGTCTCCGTAATCTAGCATGGGTAGGATGGTCATCTGAATCAGGGTTAGTTTAGCAGCTGGGGTGAAAGAGGAGCGATTACGATAGAGGAAACCAAGTCTAGATTTAACCTTAGCCTGCAACTTTGATATGTGCTGAGAGAAGGACAGTGTGCCATCTGGCCATACTCCCAAGTACTTGTATTTTAGTCATTTAGCAGACGCTCTTATCGACTTACAGTTAGTGAATACATATTTTTTTTATACTGGCCCCCCGTGGGAATCGAACCCACAACCCTGGCGTTGCAAACGCCATGTTCTATCAACTGAGCTACATCCCTGCCGGCTGTCAAGGTGTGCTGTAGGTGTAGTGGCGGAATCAATTGCAGGACGCAGACGGATAATCCAACAAACTTGTATTGAGCCGAAAACACGGCAAAACGGACAACTCTTGCCCGAAGGCGAAATACGCACGAAGGCGAAAACGAAACAGAACAGCGCACAAACAGGTGCGTAACTCCAGCGCAGTGGAGAGAAGCTCAACCGAGCGAAAACACATCTGACACAAAACAATATTACACAACACCTGACACACACAACGGGAACTAAATAGGACACTAATGACACTGAATGAAAACAGGTGTGACAACACTTAGACAGAAGCAAACGAACATGAAACATACAACGGTGGCAGCTAGTACTCCGGAGACAACGAACGCCGAAGCCTGCCCGAACAAGGGAGAGAGGCAGCCTCGGCCGAAACCGTGACAGTACCCCCCCCTTGACGCGCGGCTCCAGACGTGCGCTGACTCCGGCCTCGGGGACGACCCGGAGGATGCGGAGCCGGGCGCGTCGGGTGTCCACGATGGAATTCCGTCAGGAGAGACGGGTCCAAAATGTCTCCCCTCGGCACCCAGCACCGCTCCTCCGGACCGTACCCCTCCCACTCCACTAGATACTGGAGACCCCCCATCCGACGTCTCGAATCCAAGATGGACCTCACGGAGTACGCCGGTGCCCCTTCGATGTCCAATGGGGGCGGAGGAGTCTCCCTGATCTCACTGTCTTGGAGTGGGCCAGCTACCACCGGCCTGAGAAGGGACACATGGAACGAGGGGTTAATACTTTTATATTCAACAGGTAGCTGTAATTTATAACACACCTCGTTCAACCTTCCCAGGACTTTAAATGGCCCTACAAACCGCCGACCCAGTTTCCGACAGGGCAGGCAGAGGGGCAGGTTCCTGGTAGAGAGCCAGACTCGATCACCAGGTGCGTACACCGGTCCCTCACTGCGGTGGAGATCAGCGCTCGCCTTATGACGTCGGAGGGCCCGCTGCAGGTGGACGTGTGCAGCGTTCCATGTCTCCTCCGAGCGCCTCGCCCACTCATCCACCGCAGGAGCCTCGATCTGGCTCTGCTGCCAGGGTGCCAGAACCGGCTGGTAACCTAACACGCATTGGAAAGGGGTTAGGTTAGTGGAGGAATGGCGTAGGGAATTCTGGGCCATTTCGGCCCAGGGAACGTACCTTGCCCACTCCTCCGGCTGGTCCTGGCAGTATGTTCTAAGAAACCTGCCCACATCCTGGTTTACACGTTCCACCTGCCCATTACTCTCCGGGTGGTAACCCGAGGTGAGGCTCACCGAGACCCCCAACCGCTCCATAAAGGCCCTCCAGACTCTGGAGGTAAATTGGGGACCCCGATCAGACACAATATCCTCGGGTACCCCGTAGTGCCGGAACACATGGGTGAACAGGGCCTCGGCAGTTTGCAGGGCGGTAGGAAGGCCCGGCATGGGGAGCAAACGACAGGCCTTAGAAAACCGGTCCACAACGACCAGTATGGTGGTATTCCCCTGTGAAGGAGGAAGGTCAGTAAGGAAATCCACCGAGAGGTGGGACCATGGTCGTTGTGGCACGGGCAGGGGTAGTAACTTACCCCTAGGCAGATGTCTAGGCGCCTTACACTGGGCGCACACCGAGCAGGAGGAAACATAAACCCTCACATCCCTTGCCAACGTGGGCCACCAGTACTTGGCACTAAGACAGTGCACTGTCCGGCCGATACCCGGATGTCCAGAGGAGGGTGACGTGTGAGCCCAATAGATCAATCGATCCCGAACCTCGAGCGGAACGTACTTCCGACCCTCCGGGCACTGTGGTGGACTAGGGTCGGTGCGTAACGCCCGCTCGAGCTCAGCATCGACCTCCCACACTACCGGTGCCACCAGACACGACTCCGGCAGTATGGGAGTGGGCTCCACGGACCTCTCCTCCGTGTCATACCGCCGAGACAGCGCATCTGCCTTACCATTCTGTGACCCAGGGATGTACGTGATCTTAAAAGTAAACCTGGTCAAGAACATATTCCATCTTGCCTGGCGAGGGTTCAGCCTCCTCGCCGCCCGGATGTACTCCAGGTTACGGTGGTCCGTCAAAATGAGGAAAGGGTGTTGAGCCCCCTCAAGCCAGTGCCTCCACACCTTTAAGGCCTGTACCACGGCTAACAGCTCCCTGTCCCCTACGTCATAGTTCCGCTCCGCCGGACTGAGCTTCTTAGAATAAAAAGCACAGGGGCGGAGTTTAGGTGGCGCGCCAGACCGTTGTGAAAGCACGGCTCCTAGACCGGCCTCTGACGCGTCCACCTCTACCTGGAACGGCAAAGAGGGATCCGGATGCGCCAGCACCGGGGCCGAGGTAAACAGGTCCTTCAGCCTCCCAAACGCCCTGTCCGCCTCGGCCGACCACTGCAGACGCACCGGACCCCCCTTCAACAGAGACGTGATGGGAGCTGCCACCTGTCCAAAACCCCGGATAAACCTCCGGTAGTAATTCGCAAACCCCAAAAACTGCTGCACCTCCTTCACAGTGGTTGGTGTTTGCCAATTACGCACGGCCGACACCCGGTCTACCTCCATCTTCACCCCTGACGCAGACAACTGATACCCCAAAAAGGAGACCGACTCCTGGAAAAACAGACACTTCTCTGCCTTCACATACAGGTCGTGCTCCACCAGCCTCCGCAACACTCTGCGCACCAGGGCCACATGCTCGACACGGGTAGGCGAGTA